AGGTCATGCAGCCCCCGCTTCACCAATCGACGCTGGAATTAAGTCGGGCCTGTCCCTCTACAGGAGGACAGTTCAAAAATGGGAAAATGATGGACCCACGAACCCGGAAAGGGATATAGACATGTGGAGCATGGACACGTTTTCATGATACCCAACTGGGCAACACCTCACGAAACATCCCACGAGACACCTCACGAAACAGCCCACGAGACACCTCACGAAACATTCCACGAGACACCTCACGAAACATTTCACGAGACACCCCGCGAAACATTCCACGAGACACCCCACGAAACATTCCACGACGACAGGCAACCACTCAACCAAGGCGGTGTGGTCGTGCTGGGGAGTGGTCGTGCTGGGGTGTGGTCGTGCTGGGGGGTGGTCGTGCTGGGGGGTGGTCGTGCTGGGGGGTGGTCGTGCTGGGGGGTGGTCGTGCTGGGGCGTGGTCGTGCTGGGGCGTGGTCGTGCTGGGGCGTGGTCGTGCTGGGGCGTGGTCGTGCTGGGGCGTGGTCGTGCTGGGGTGTGGTCGTGCTGTGGTAAGGTCGTGCTGGGGTGCGGTCGTGCTGGGGTGTGGTCTTGCTGGGGTGGGGTCGTGCTGGGGTGTGATCGTGCTGGGGTGGGGTCGTGCTGGGGTGTGGTCGTGCTGGGGTGTGGTCGTGCTAGGGTGGGGTCGTGCTGGGGTGGGGTCGTGCTGGGGAGTGGTCGTGCTGGGGTGTGGTCGTGCTGGGGTGTGGTCATGCTGGGGCGTGGTCGTGCTGGGGTGGGGTCGTGCTGGGGTGGGGTCGTGCTGGGGTGGGTTCGTGCTGGGGTGCTCCGCACCCTGTGATTTATCGATCGGGTCGTGCTGGGGTGTGGTCGTGCCGTGCTGGGGAGTGGTCGTGCTGGGGTGTGGTCGTGCTGGGGGGTGGTCGTGCTGGGGTGGTCGTGCTGGGCTGGGGGTGCTGGGGCGTGGTCGTGCTGGGGCGTGGTCGTGCTGGGGCGTGGTCGTGCTGGGGTGTGGTCGTGCTGTGGTGAGGTCGTGCTGGGGTGTGGTCGTGCTGGGGTGTGGTCTTGCTGGGGTAGGGTCGTGCTGGGGTCGGGTCGTGCTGGGGTGTGGTCGTGCTGGGGTATGGTCGTGCTGGGGTGGGGTCGTGCTGGGGTGGGGTCGTGCTGGGGTCTGGTCGTGCTGGGGTGTGGTCGTGCTGGGGTATGGTCGTGCTAGGGTGGGGTCGTGCATTTCGCTCGAGACATCCTGCCAAAATTCCAGGAAATCGTACAAAAACAAAGGAATTAGTCGAGACATCATCGAAATTCCTTCGCGCGGGGCGCTTTTCCGCGTCGCGGTCGGCTCTGCAAAACAAGCGTTTCGCTCGAGACATCCTCGGCAAACTCTGCGGAGCAAGCGTTTCGCTCGAGACATCCTCAACACACGAAAAAGTGGCCCGCACCCTGTGATTTATCGATCGGGATTTCAAAAACAAGCGTTTCGCTCGAGACATCCTCAAATTTTAATTCGCCGGCCTCCTTCGACCTCGTTATTTATCAGGGAAAAAATTCGCCGGCCTCCCTCAAGTTGGCACCGGGGGACAGGTTTACCTACTAAAAGAGAACCCTGGGCCCATGCCCTTTCCGGGAAAAATAGTCAGGGGACGATTTTTGACTGGACGGGAAAAATGGGAAACCATAGGGAAAATGTTTCAAAGATGAGACAATTATTGAATCGCTTCGCTCATTCCGCCGGCCCGTGATATGGCATCGCTGGTTTTTGTCTGTGTGTTCGTTGCCCATGTTGCGCTCTTGGGGGCGGGTGTCGTTCGGACGCGTTGCGTGGGGAGTTTTGATGGTGAAGCAGTTCCCTGGGGGTCGTCTCTCGATGGGGCGAAATAGAGTCGTCGTCAAGATGCTTCTTTGGGGGGCCTCTTGGGGTCTGTTGAGAGGCCGTTCGGGGGCGCCTGGGAGACATGTTTGAAGCCTTCTGGGGCTTCTTTTGGGCCTCCTGGGAGTCTCCTGGGGCCTCTTGGCGACATCTTGGGGCCTCTTGGAGGCCTCTTGGGGCCTCTTTGGGACCTCCTGGGCGCCTTCTGGGACGGAGGGCTCCATTTTTGAGTTCTCGGTATCCCTCCTGAGTCCCTCTTGGGCCCGTCTTGGGGCCTCTTGGTCCGTCTTGGGCGGCACTTGGGCCGTCTTGAGGGCTCTCTTGGGTCGTTTCGGCGCCGTCTTGGGAGCTTCGTGGGCCGTCTTGGAGCGGTCTTGGGGGCCTCTTGGGCCGTCTTGGAGCGTCCGGAAGCCGAAAAAGCCAGAACACAAAAAACATCGAAAAAACCAATGACAATCAACGATTTTGGCCTCTTGGGGCTCTCTTCGGAGGCCTCTTGGAAGGCTCTTGGGGCGTCTTGGAGGCCTCTTGGGCTGTCTTGGGGGCCTTTTGGGCCGTCTTGGGGTCATCTTCGGCGTCTTCGAGCGCTCTTTGGGCGTCTCGGGGGCCTCTTGGGCAGTCTTGGGGGCCTCTTGGGGCACTCTGAGCGCGCTCTGGGGAGCCTGAGAGGCCGCACCCAGAAGGAAAACCATCTCTGAGTAGACTTGGTCGGGCGGCGGTCGGGCGGCGGTCGGGCGGCGACCGGGCGTTGGTCGGGGTACTTTTCGCCGGGGGACCCCCAGGGGCCGCCCCGCGCGCGCGAACTAGAAATACTGTTAATACTGTTAACCAGTTACCGGAGATCTTAGCACGCCCTGGCCCGTTGGGCCGGCGAATTTTGGCGAAGGACCCAACCATATGAAGTCTTGGGGGTACCGCAATTGTGAATATCTTCTTCGTTGAAGCTCCCTATGGGGCCACGAAGCGCTGCGCTGGGCGGGGCGGGAACGCGTGCGGGCGGGAGCACTGGGGCCGTCGGTGAAGCTCCCTATGAGGCCACGAAACGCTGCACTGGGTGTGTGAAAATATCAATCGGCGCGTGGGACGTATGCGGGCGGTCCCAATGGGGGCTTCGGTGGAGCTCCCCATGGGGCCGCAAAGCGTTGTAAAGGGTGGGTAGAAATGCCAAATTGGGTATGGGGGACGCATGCGGGCGGTCCCACTGGGGGCTTCGGTGGGGCTTCCTATGGGGCCACGAACGCTGTACTGGGCCGGTGAAAATGCCAAATTGGGTGTGGGGGAACCATGCGGGCGGTCCCACTGGAGGCTTCGGTGGAGCTCCCTGTGGGGGACGCATGCGGGCGGTCCCACTTGGGGGCTTCGGTGAGCTCCCTATGGGGCCACGAAGCGCTGTACTGGGCGGGTGAAAATGCCAAATTGGGCATGGTGGACGCATGCGGGCGGTCTCATTGGGGGCTTCGGTGGAGCTCCCTATGGGGCCATGGAGCGCTGTGCTGGGTGGGTGACAATGCCAAGTTGGGTGTGGGGGACGCATGCGGGCGGTCCCACTGGTGGCTTCGGTGGGGCTCCCTATGGGGCCACGAAGCGCTGTACTGGGTGGGTGAAAATGCCAAGTTGGGTATGGGGGACGTATGCGGGCGCTCCCACTGGGGGCTTCGGTGGGGCTCCTTATGGGGCCACGAAGCGCTGTACTGGGCGGGTGACAATGCCAAATTGGATGTGGGCGGTACCACTGGGGGCTTCGGTGGAGCTCCCTATGGGGTCACGAACGCTGTACTGGGTGAAGATGCTAAATTGGGCGTGGGGGACGCATGCGCGCGGTCCCACTTGGGGCTTCGCTGGAGCTCCTTATGGGGCCACGAAGCGCTGTACTGAGTGGGTGAAACTGCCAAATTGGGTGTGGGGGGCGCATGCGGGCGGTCCCACTGGAGGCTTCGGTGGAGCTCCCTATGGGGCCACGAAGCGCTGTGCTGGGTGGGTGACAATGCCAAGTTGGGTGTGGGGGACGCATGCGGGCGGTCCCACTGGTGGCTTCGGTGGGGCTCCCTAGTGGGCCACGAAACGCTGTACTGGGTACGTGGAAATGCCAAATTGGGTGTGGGGGACGCATGCGGGCGGTGCTACTGGGGGCTTCGGTGGAGCTCTCTATGGGGTCACGAAGCGTGTGAGGGATGTGCCGAAATGGGTGTGGGAGACGCATGCGGGCGGTGGAGAGGAGGAGGGGGAAGAGGAGGGGATGAGGAAGGGAACGCGGGGACCGTCTCTTCAAAACGAGGACCCAACACCACAGGATGGTTGGGAATGTCTTGACTGCTTCAAGAATTAAAAAAATGAGAAATAGTCATTGGAATATTTTGAGATATTTCTTGACTTTTTTAGTTTTCGTCCAGACTCCGCCTGTAGGAGGACATGCCCGACCTAAACCCAGCCGCATCGTGTCGAGGTCATGCCCCCGCTTCACCAATCGGCGCTGGAAGAATGGCAGCTCCGACCCTCGTATACTTCCCTTGAGCGACATCGCCGCAAGGTTCTGCACACCTCCCCTTGGACGACGCAATGGAAGATGCGATGGTGGTTGTTGGAGGACACTGGGACGTAGTTGTACAATTGAAGTGTCTTTCGGAACAGCGTATACCCATGCGATCGTTTTCTAATTCATTGTTTTGCCGATCGGCGCAGGCCCTCGCCCCCCGCCCGGACGTGGATCTTGGCTGGTTTTGGCGCCTGTTTCGAGCAGGTGAAGCCTTCCCCAAATGGACGCACAGTTCCAAACAGTCGCACTAAGCAGAGGTCCGGAGCCCCCCACCCCCCAACGCCGAATTAAAAAGTTCGCTTGGCGGAACTCGGGACGTAGTTGTACAAGGGAAGTGTCTTTCGGACAGCGTATGCCCATCGGTCGTTAGGAAGTAGGTATTTTTGGGTTCCCGTATTCCAATCTACTGTAAGCGCCTTCCTACTTCAAGGATCCAGGGGCTTCACCTTTTCCATCCTCTTCAGGGGGCGGGCGGACACCCAATCTACTTTCAGCACCTTCCTACTTCATGTTCCGACCTACTTCTTCCGATCGATGGGTAAGCAATGTTATCCATTGGCAAGAAAGACAAAGACAAATCGAGGAAAGGAATGCTGGCGTGACCAGCCGCAGCAATTTCCCATCTCATGTTTCTGTCAAAACTGTCAGAGGTATCCGTAGTATGCGGCAAGCACTCCGTGCAGCGAGCTATGCCGAGGCCGTCGTCGACAAACCGAGCCCGGAAATGCAAGTCCGACTGGTTACGCTCACCGACGCTGTGGTCGGAGTCATTCGAATGCACGTTCGCCATGAATACGCCGCTGGACAGACCTGAATCGCCGGCGATTCCCTGTGCAACCTTGTACAATCTTCCGTGGTGCTCGATGTACTGATTGTCCAGCGTGATCTTCGAAAGATTCTTGGCAACCGTACCACGTCGACTGCGGGCCCCGTACTGCCTGTCGATGGCGTCTGCGAGGACCGAGTAAAGATGACGGTTGCGGATGGACGGGTAAATGTCCTTCACGTCCGCGGTGAATAGCACAAGCGTGTCGAGGAAAACGGTGCAGTCAGAGCTCCTAAGCCTCTGGAACAATACGGCGGTTGAGTTCATGGCACACTGGAGGCTACGTTGGATCGGCTCCAGTATGTCGCAGAGATACAACGCTGCTGTTTGGAACGTGGACTTGGGCAAATTGAAAGTCGAACAGGCGCCGATTGGCATTCTGTGAATTTTCAGCCTCAGTCTAAAGCGTCCTGGATGAGGACATCGGAAGCAGGATACATAAATTGCCACTCTTTCTTGTCAAACTCGTCTGTGAACGTGTCCTTCAAAATCACGATCAAATCTTTTGTCTTTCGCGGACGCCATGCTGCGATTGAAGCTATCGTGCAGGATCTCCTGGCACGCTTGGTTGAGCAAGAGGGCGCTCTGGCGTTCGACCTAATCTCGGGAGCAGGCCGTCACCGAGGCCCTTATCCGTGCCAGCCACAACGATGAGATGGGCATTCCGTCGGAGTCACGCTCGAGCTCTGCGGTCGAAGCGGGACATATTTGGATGTTTCGGGTGCGGCTGGTAATTATCATCCAAGAGTCTTGCAATCGACTGCTCGTAAGAGTGACCCTTCGCCAGCGTGACCTTTGGCGTGCGGGTCCACAGGGGCCGCTCCGATCGCCGAGCGCGCTGTGATAGTAGCGTCGTGCGCGCTTGTGTCTGGTCCCCCCTTGCCCGCCCCTCCTCCCCTGTGCCTTTCCCTCCCTCCCCTCTCGCGCCGCCATGGCGCTGCTTGCTGTCGCTCCTGGCGTGCAGCCCCGCTAGTGGCCGAGCCGGCGGACACTGCGTTAGGGTGCATCACTCCATCCTGACACCTAGTGAGAACACCATTTTGTTGTTGGCAGTCCGAAGCCTGGACTCCGTCTTCGTGTACTTGTGCTACCTCGTACTGTGCATCGGCAGCGCCCGTGGGTGCACCGACGCCGCGGTCCGGCTGCTGCCACGGCCTCCGCTGCTGCTGCTGGCCGCGCCTGCGCGCTCTGTGTGGAAGTCTTCCGCGTCTGAGTGCCCTCTGCTTCCTCCTGTCCTTCGCGGCCGCCCTGTCTGTCTGGTCCCCCTCCTCTTGCATGCCGGTCAATTCGCGTTTCGGACGCCCCGCTCGCTCATCACTGGTGCAGCTCTTCTGCCCCGCGGCCGACGGAAAACTGTTTGGTCCCCCCGCGGCCCCCAAGTAGCCGCGCTCCACAGGTCACTCTTGCCCAGGGTCCCTCCTGTGTGCAGCCGATGCACTGCTGCCCGCTGCTGAATGGCCCCCACTGCTGCTGCGCTCGCCCCAGCCGCCAGCGCGCCGAGGGCCACAGGCCCCTGGCCGCAGCCCCACAGAGGACGCGCTGCACGGGCGACCTGCCGGCGAGCTTGCCTGCGCGTGCTGGCGGTCCGCGCTGCTCCCGCCAGGTTCCAGAACTGTGCGCCTGCCCGCTGCGCCCGCTTCTGGTGCGCTACTCGAAGGAGGACGATGGTGATGATGATGAGGACGATGACGATGATGATGATCTGATGGTGATGACGATGGTGATGGTGATGATGATGATGAGGATGATGAGGATGGGTTTGAAATTTGGGATTCTGATGGTGACGATTTTACGAGGATGATGCTGCTAATTCTGATGACGATAATGATAACGATGGTGATGGCGATCACGATGACGATGATGATGGTGATGATGAGGCTGCTGATGATGGGTTCTTGTTTTTGTAATGCTGATGATGACGATGATGAAACAGATGCTGGTTATGGCGATGATGGTCCTGATGATGACAATGACGATGACAACGAGCATGATTATGACGATGCTGATGCTGATGATGATGACGATGATGGCGATGATGACTCTGATGATGATACTTACTGCGGATGACGATGACGATGATGATGACGATGATGATGATGATGATGACCACGATGACGATGACGATGACGATGACGATGATGATGATGATCACGATGATTACGACGAGTATGATGCTGATGTTGATGATGATGGTCATGATGATGATCACGTTAGACAATGATGATGCTGATAATGCTGATGCTGAACATGGTGAGGATGATGATGACGATGCGTATGGCGATGATAACGATTATAATAGAAGATACCCGTGGCATGATGATAATGACGGTGACGACGAGGATGATGATGCTGCTCATGCTGATGCCAATGATGATGATGAAGATGGTGATGATGATGCTGCCGACACTGGTGATGATGACGAAGCTGTTGCTGATGATGATGATGACGATGATGATACTGATGACGATGATGAAACAGCCGATGATGATTCTGATGATGACGATGACGATTATGATGGGGATTGGGAACAAGATGCAGTTAACGGTGATGAGTATGATCATGATGATGACGATGATGATGCCAACGATGACGATGACGACGATGCTGATGATGCTGATGGTGCTAATGATGCTGATGATGATTATTGTTATGATGATGACGACGAGGACGATGACTATGATGATTCTGATGATGTTCACGATGACGATGAGGATGATGATGATGATGATGATGATGATGATGGTGATGACCATGATACTGATGACGATGGTGATGATGAGGACGATGATGATGGTAGTCTTATTTTGAATACTTTCTGATTATCGTACTGATGCTGATGATCGAGATGATGATGATGACGATGATGATGATGCTGATCAGGATGATGATGATGATCTTGACGGTGAAGATGAGTGTGACGATGATGGCGATGCTGATGACTACGATGACGATGACTATGATGATGGATGGTGATGATTGTGCTGATGATCATGGTGACGACGATGACGATTACAATGACGATGGTGATGCTGATGCTGCTGATGATGATGATGCTGATGATCATGATGATCACGATCATGATGACGATATTGAACGATGCTGATGATGATGATCATGGTTATGATGATAATGATGATGATGATGCTGCTGCTGATGATGATGCTGACGACGACGACGGCGACGACCACGACGACGATGATAATGATACTGATAATGAGAATGTTGACGATGATGATGATGATGATGATGATGATGATGATGATGATGATGATGATGCTGATGCTGATGATGATGATGATGATGGTGATGATGGTGATGATGGTGATGATGGTGATGATGATGATGATGATGATGCTGATGATGATGATGATGACGATGATGATGATGATGATGATGATGATGATGATGATGATGATGATGATGATGATTATTATGATGCTGATGATGCTCAAGAACCGTGCACAACCTTTTGAACATCAGTACTTTCGGCCTCTTGGGTCTCTCTTGGGACGCCTCTTGGAACACTCTTGGGACGTATTGGGGGCCTCTTGGGCCGTGTTGAGGCCATTTTGGGCGTATTGAAGCTCTCTTGGGCCTTCTCGGAGGCATTTTCGGCCCTCTTGGGCGCTTTTTGGGCCCATGTTTGGCCTGCTGCGCTACCAGATGAAGCACGCGACACCCCTGGGGAATCCCTGGGAATCCCAGGAAATCCTGGGGAATCCCTTGGGGTCTTTGTGAAACCGGTGGCCCAGGCTTTTATTATAACTTTTTAAACCCTACAAGTTTGAATTCCTCATAGATGCATGAGGCTTGGGGCACTCTACTACGTTCTGAGGGTACGGTTGCGGATGACATATGTAATCGAGAAATGAAAGAGCGCGCCCGTACGGACCTCAATACTAAAAGGGGGACCTAGCTTCAAGCTTGGAAAGGGGGGGGGAGCTTCCGAAGCTACCCCCCCCTCCCTTCTGTAAGGGTTTCTAAGCTAGGGGGGCCCTGGCTAAAGGGAGGGAGGGCTTCGAAGCTATCCCCCCCTCTCCCGTCCTTTTCCGGGGTAGAAGGTGAGCCCGGGCTTCCCTTTCAAAGGGGGAGGGGGCTTCAGAAGCTACCCCCCCTTCCCTTTTTCGGTCTGGGCACAGGGGGAGAGGGGTAACTCGTTTTCTCGTTTTCTCGGCGCCTGGGTCGCGGTCCAGTTTTCTCGGACCCTGCTTCGTTTTCTTGTTTTCTCAGCCCTGGGGGCGTGGTTTTGTTTTCTCGGACGCTGGTTAGTATTCTCGTTTTCTCGTTGTCCTGGCCCCGGGTGGTGGTCTCGTTTTCTCTGACCCTGCTTCGTTTTCTCGTTTCGTCGTTTTCTGGGCTCCTGGGTCGTGGTCTCGTTTTCTCGAACCAAGCGTTTTCTGGTGATCGCGGCCATTCTGTAGTGGTTTCCTCGGGCCCTGGTTCGTTTTCTCGTTTTCTCGGCCCCTGGGTCGTGGGTCGTTTTCGGGTTTTCTCATTTCCTCGGCCCCTGGGTCGTGGTCTCGTTTCCTCGGGGCCTGGTTCGTTTTCTCGTTTTTTTTTTTTTTTGTTTTTGTTTTTGTTTTTGTTTTTGTTTTCTTGTTTGTTTTCTCGGCCCCTGGGTCGTGGTCTCGTTTTCTCTGTTCTGGTTATTTTTTTCATTTTCTTGTTTTCTCGGCCCCTGGTTCGTTGTCTCGTTTTCTCGTGGCCTGATTTTTTTTTTTTTTTTTTTTTTGGGGGGGGGCTCCTGGGTCGTGGTCTCGTGTTTTCTCGGACCCTGGTTCGTTTTCGCGTTTTCTGTGCCCTTGGGTCGTGGTCTCGTTTGCTCGAACTTTGGTTCGTTTTCTCGTTTTCTCGTGTTCTCGGCCCCTGGGTCGTGGTCTCGTTTTCTCGGACCCTTGTTCGTTGTGTTGTTTTCTCGTTTTCTCGGCTTTTGTTTTTTTTTGTTGTTCTTTTCGGGCCCAGGTTCGTGATCTCGTTTTCTTGTTTTCTCGGCCCCTGCGTCGTGGTGTCAATTCTCCTGGGACCCTTGTTAGTTTTCTCGTTTTCTCGTGTTCTCGGCCCCTTAGTCGTGGTCTCGTTTCCTCGGGGGCTGGTTCGTTTTTTGTTTTCTCGGCCCCTGGATCGTGGTCCCGTTTTCTCGCACCCTGGTTCGGTTTTTCGTGTTCTCCGTTTCTCGGCCCTGGATTGTGGTTTTGTTTTCTCTGACCCTGGTTCGTTTTCTCGTTTTCTTGTTTTCTCGGCCCCTGGGTCGTGGTCTCGTTTTCTGGGGCCCCGGTTCGTTTTCTCGTTTTCTCGTTGTCTCGGCCCCTGGGTCGTGGTTTTGTTTTCTCGGGCCCCGTTCGTTTTCTCGTTTTCCGGTTTCTCAGCCCCTGGGTTTATGTCTCGTTTTCTCGGCCCCTGGTTCGTTTTCTTGTTTTCTCGTTTTCTCGGCCCCTGGGTCGTGGTCTCGTTTTCTTTGAGCCTGATTCGTTCTCTTGTTTTCTTGTTTTATCGTCCCCTGGGTAGTGGTCTTGTTTTCTCGGACCTTGGTTCGTTTTCTCGTTTTCTTGTTTTCTCGGCTTCGCCCCTGGGGCGTGGTCCAGTTCGGTCGTGGTCCAGCTCTCTCGGACCCTAGTTTGTTTTATCGTTTTCGCGTCTTCTCTGCCCCTTGGTCGTGGTCTCGTTTTCTCGGACCCCGTTTTGTTTCTCCGTTTTCTCGGCTTCTGGGTCGTGGTCTCGTTTTCTCGGGCCTTGGTTCGTTTTCTCGTTTTCTCTGCACCTGGGTCGTGGTTTGTTTTTCTTGGGCCATGGTTCGTTTTCTCGTTTTCTCGTTCTCTCGGCCCCTGGGTCGTGGTCTCGTTTTCTCTGACCCTGATTCGTTCTCTCGTTTTCTCTGCCCCTGGGTCGCGGTCTCGTTTTCTCTGACCCTGGTTCGTGTTTTCGTTTCTTGTTTCCTCGGCGCCTGGGTCGTGGTCCAGTTTTCTCGGACCCTGGTTAGTTTTCTCGTTTTCTCGTTTTCGCGGCCCCTGGGTCGTGGTCTCGTTTTCTCGGACGCTGGTTTGTTTTATCGTTTCCTCGTTTTCTCGGCCCCTGGTTCGTAGTTTCGCTGTCTCGGGCCCTGATTCCTTTTATTGTTTTCTCGTTTTCTCGGCCCCTGGGTCGTGGTATCGTTTTCTAGGACCGATTTTCGCGTTTT